TAAACAAACGGTTTTGGAAACAGTTTGCTTTTGAGTTGCACCTTTGCTGGTTACAAAATTTCGCAAACAGAGCTCAGCCTTGATAGCCAAGTTGTAGCTTTATTCAGCAGGCATCAAGTGCATAAAATGAGCAAATTTTTCTTTGTTGCAGGTGTGACATACAATATTCCAGTGTGTGTCTGGTTGCAGGAGAAGCATCCTTATGTTCCACCACTAGTGTTTGTTAGGCCAACAAGCACAATGGCTATCAAGGCATCTCAACATGTCGACACTAATGGAAGAGTTTATCATCCATTTTTACATGAGTGGAATTATGTATGTTGATTCTTGTTGTTTCACCCAGCTAAAAATTATAAATGCAACTTCAGGAAACAAAGCAATGTGGACTATCAAATGTGCATTTATGCAAGTTAATTTAATCTCTTAAAGTGAAACTTGAAACTCTCAAGGATTTAGAAAGTCATTCATTCAGGAATCATCCTTTTTTCTGTGAATGATATGCAAGACAACACTATGAATAAACTTAGAATAAACACCTAGAATAAACTCCAAACTTGTGTTACTCATTGCAAGATGGTTGGAGTTATTTTAAAAAATGAATCAATGTTTATTGATATCCATTAATCATGACAATATACATTTACCCTCAAGGTACATGTACATTTGCATACGTATTGCTATTTGTTTTTGAATAGCAAAATGAATGTTTATTGATATCCATTAATCATGACAATATACATTTACCCCTAAGGTACATGGACATTTGTATACATATTGCTATTCATTTTTGTTGCATCATTTCCACACAGATTTCCATTTTTTTTTTTTTGTTAATTTTTGTAAGTGTTCATTTAGGCAAGTACTGTACATTTTTTACAGTGCACATGTAAAGTAACTAACAGCACATTTTTTGTTTCTTTTTTTTTTTTCAGCCCAGATCTGATCTTGCTGCCTTACTTCAGATTCTCTGTGGCATTTTTGCAGCACAATCACCAGTTTATGCAAAGAGTACACCAACACCACCACAGCCTTCTAATTACAACAGACCACAACAACCAGGGTACCCTCCTCAATATCCCCCAGGTTACCCTCCTTCTAATCAAGCTGGGTCACTGCCCTACCCTGTAGGAGGGTCTGCAAGAATGCCAATGCCAACACAAATGCCGATGCCAGGCAAGTGCAAAAAGACATTTGGTGTTTGTCAATATATTTAAAATTTCTTTGCCTACATACTGATGATGAGGTACTGAAGACTGGGTAATATGCTTTTCTAGTTATGGTATTGGAGTAATTGATAGGCTGACTGACCAACTCACTAACTGACCAATGAACGGATAGATGGTCAGACAGATGGGCAGACAGAAGGACAGACAGACTGACTGACTGACTGACTGACTGACTGACCTGACAGTCTGATCTATTTTTGACTGTCTGTCTGACCAATTGATTGATTGATTGACTGACTGACTGACTGA